TCTGTACACAATAAAGAAGAGTTTTGGCTAGTAGACTATATTGAGTCATTACGTCACATCTGTACACATAAAGAAGAGTCTCGGCTAGTAGACTATATTGAGTCATTACGCCACATCTGTACACAATAAAGAAGAGTTTTGGCTAGTAGACTATATTGAGTCATTACGTCACATCTGTACACATAAAGAAGAGTCTCGGGTAGTAGACTATATTGAGTCATTACGTCACATCTGTACACATAAAGAAGAGTCTCGGCTAGTAGACTATAAGGAGTCATTACGTCACATCTGTATACATAAAGAAGAGTCTCGGCTAGTAGACTATATTGAGTCATTACGTTACATCTGTACACAATAAAGAAGAGTTTTGGCTAGTAGACTATATTGAGTCATTACGTCACATCTGTATGTACATAACGAAGAGTCTCGGCTAGTAGACAATATTGAGTCATTACGTCACATCTGTACACATAAAGAAGAGTCTCGGCTAGTAGACTATATTGAGTCATTACGTCACATCTGTACACATAAAGAAGAGTCTCGGCTAGTAGACTATAATACGTCATTACGTCACATCTGTATGTACATAAAGAAGAGTCTCGGCTAGTAGACAATATTGAGTCATTACGTCACATCTGTACACATAAAGAAGAGTCTCGGCTAGTAGACTATAATACGTCATTACGTTACATCTGTACACATAAAGAAGAGTCTCGGCTAGTAGACTATATTGAGTCATTACGTCACATCTGTACACATAAAGAAGAGTCTCGGCTAGTAGACTATAAGGAGTCATTACGTCACATCTGTATACATAAAGAAGAGTCTCGGCTAGTAGACTATATTGAGTCATTACGTTACATCTGTACACATAAAGAAGAGTCTCGGCTAGTAGACTATATTGAGTCATTACGTCACATCTGTACACATAAAGAAGAGTCTCGGCTAGTAGACAATATTGAGTCATTACGTCACATCTGTACACATAAAGAAGAGTCTCGGCTAGTAGACTATAATACGTCATTACGTTACATCTGTATACATAAAGAAGAGTCTCGGCTAGTAGACTATATTGAGTCATTACGTCACATCTGTACACATAAAGAAGAGTCTCGGCTAGTAGACTATAATACGTCATTACGTTACATCTGTATACATAAAGAAGAGTCTCGGCTAGTAGACTATATTGAGTCATTACGTCACATCTGTACACATAAAGAAGAGTCTCGGCTAGTAGACTATAAGGAGTCATTACGTCACATCTGTATACATAAAGAAGAGTCTCGGCTAGTAGACTATATTGAGTCATTACGTTACATCTGTACACATAAAGAAGAGTCTCGGCTAGTAGACAATATTGAGTCATTACCTCACATCCGTAGACATAAAGAAGAGTCTCGGCTAGGAATGCAGCTTTAAATATTCAAGGGGAGATAAGCTCACATTGTGTACACATTGTGGCTATCTATTATAAAATAATGGAATGTATTATTATTATATTTTTTACAAATTATTTATTTAAAAAATGCAAAATCAAATATAGCCATTTTGAATATTTTAATATCCAAGATATAAAAACATAGCTTTTTTTAACAGAATAGTTCACGCAAAAATGAAAATTCTGAAAAAAAAAAAATTGAAAAAGGTTCTTCTCACATTTGATCACATAATGTCACCCTGACAACACACATACTACATCGCAGATATCTAACCTATTTTTTCAAGGTTAGGTTTTGGAATTTTAAGTTTTAGTTAAAGTGGTCTGTGCACTATCCAGCTTTTAATGTTGTTTATGCATCTATGTGGTGTTTTTAATATGCTTTAGGATAAACCATATGTAAATTCATAAGTCGACAGCATTGCCGAGTGTTTTTTAATTTGAAAACTGCAGTGAACCAAAGACAGTCTCAAAAACACGGTTTGAAATCGCTAGTGTTTCTAACCAGATCAGATCAACGTGTGATCGTCAACGAGTGGATCTCTGAGCTGAGTGAGTGAGTGGAGACAGGGCTCATTTGCACATTCATAGAACCATGTACACCAAGGCTGCATTTACACTTGGCATTAACATGCGACCTGTATCTAGATGTTGTCCACATACACATTGAAAAGACAAGTGTAAACGCGCTTCTAATGGAAATGTCATCTGATCAGCGTGTCCAGGTTCGGAGGTAGTCGAGGACGCATTGTGATCAGATCTCAGTGTAATGTAAACGCACTCCAGCCATCGTGTCTTCATTTACAGGTGGACATCACACAAACCCCCTCTCTGTCATTATTCAGTGATTAATTATAATCATAGTTAATTATAGTGATTATAGCACATTGCCAAATGTGCTTGGCTGACACCGAAGAGATGAGCAGGTGTGTGGAAGCAGTCACCTGTAGCAAACCAATACAGGGCCACAGCAACTCTTTTCCAGCTGTGTGCTTTTGCGATACAGTCGAGTGCCAGGTACATCACAAATATACTGAAATGTTTGTCTTCGCACCCGAAAGTTACAGAACCATTCATTTTCAGTACAGAACACACATTTTCCCACCACAGCTGGCAACGTTCTCGGATACGTTTCTCTGTACCGTTTCCATTACTATCAACATTATTTGTACTTGCAGCCTCTTCATCCGCCTCATTTTGCCAGACTTGTAAAATGTCCCCCGACTGAAAAATGTTTTTAAAAGAAAATCCATCACTTCAGGTCGACTTTGTACCGGAAAGCATCCTTTGCATCCTTTTTTTTCTTTTTCCGCAGGAATGCGATATCCGATCAGTTATCCAGATACAGAAGCCACTTGATGTGGACAGGTGTAAACGCACCGTGTCCTGATTGGCTTATGATCCGATCTGCTTGATCGGATCACGCTGATTGCATGGTAATGCCAAGTGTAAATGCAGCCTATATTAGGAATGGGTGAACAGTAGCGGTTCTAGGCACGGGCGACTGCCCGGGGCGGCATTTCTTCATGTCACATGGGGGGCGGCACGAGCAGTTAAAAAAATCCTCTGTGCCTCGAAGGTTTTCTATTTTTTTACCATTTCGATTCAATTATTGGCAATGGCGCCCCTAATTGCTGAGAAGGTGCCGTGCACAGAAGCGATGTCAAGGGGGTCTCTTGATTAGTTCACGTATCGCGTCTTTTGCGCGCTCGAGGTCGTTATTTCAAATAGGCGATTAGGCGCACGGGAAGCGCGCTCATTATGCGCTCGCGGGAGGCGCGCTCATAAACTTTTCAGTATGGGAGTGCTCGTGCACCCAAACACTTGGGTGTTTTTCTCTTCTCCGTAAAAAAATCTTTTAGCAGAGCTTCAGCAAGCGTTTTTCTGGTGGAAATACATTAGCTACTAAAACTTCTTTGTCATTGTGGAGAGCGCAGTGCATGGTTGTATAGCAACGACAGCCATGGGCAAATCGGTCCGAATTTTATTAATAATAAAAGATAAGCTACTGTGCATTATAAATGTCAGGAATGTATCTTTATTGACTCATTTTTTTTATAGAGATGATTGAATGCTGAAATATGAGGTATATATTTTTATAAAATCTCTTTTTGTGTTAACCTTTTTTTAAGTTTAGTAGGTAAGATAAAAGACACTCCTTTAAAACAAATCTTTAATGTTATTAACTTGGTGAATTGATTGTGTATTAGGCTTTTTGTGTATGTGATCATGTTGGTCACTATATTCATGAAATGAAAATAATTTACATAATGATCAACTTTGTGTTTTTACAGTAGCCTATATGCAAAGTACAATTTTCTATTTTCTAACATTCTAACATTTTAAGAGTGACATAGGGCTACAAAAGCTATTTTAGGTCTATAACAGTTTGGATAGTGTTTAATATGAGAGCTGTTCAAAATTATTTAAGAGATAAGAGATAAGTATTGTGTTACTAAGTAAGTATCTCTCAGAATTGAAGGCAATAACCAATGCACTAATGGTTGCTTCCTCTCTTTAAAGTTAGATTAATCTAGCAAAATAACTGGATTCTATTAACTCTATTTATAACTCTATTCTATTTCATTGTTTTTCAAATGAACGGTATGTGATTTTATTTTTGGGTTGTTGTTGTTTTTTTGTTTGTTTTTTTTTTTGTTTTTTTGGGGGGGGCTCAAAGGGGGTCTCGCCCTGGGTGTAATTCAGAGTAGAACCGCCACTGAGGGTGAAGAGTTACATTCAAACTATTTTAAGGCATGAAGAATATTTTTTAAGGAAAACACTTAAATATGCTTTTTTGGTGATCAAAGATGAGTTTTAAGGGATAAAATGATTGACTACAGGGAGACATTTAGTATAATAGGGATGGTCTGCAAACTAAAATTATGTGTACAGTTTCTGTTTAGGCCTAATGTTGGTTTCAGATGACTTGTTATAGAAGTGATAGTTCACCCAAAAAAAAAAAAAACTCAGGTTCATGTTGGTCCAAACTTGTATGACTTTCTCTCTCTTATGTGGAATACTAAATAGGAAATTTGAAGAATGTTTAAGCTTTTGTTCATGCAGTGAAAGTCAAAATGGGCATAAAGGTACCGTAAAAAAAGGATTCAAACAGCTCCAGTTGATCCAAACTACTTCAGTATTCTGAAGCAATACAATAACATTATATAATGAACAGAGTGAAATTTAATAACTTATTCACTCTCAAATTGAATCAAAACATTGACCAACTCAAGTCAAAATCAAATTTGGTGATACGCCAGTAACATTAAACCTTGTTGGTTTTAGCGCATCACTTGACTTGACTTGGCTCCATATACAAGTTGATCAATGATTTGGTTTGTTTTCAAGTTTTGGGAAGAGCACTGAGTGGCTTTCTCTCTTTCTTGTCATACAGTTGTGATGTCCTTGCATTACTTGTTTAGCATGTAATCTAATGGTGATTGAAATTAATCAATTGTCTGTGCTACCTTTCTTTTACCACCTTGTGAACATAAGGTTTAGCAAATGACAAGGTGATGTTTAGTCCAATTAGACCCATCAAATGATTCTGTGATTATTTACATTTCTCTTCTTTCTCTACAGATAGAAAATGGGGATGCTCTGTGTACACACTTCCTTCTTAATTGTAATAGTACTGACCTTTATACCCTCGTGTGACACATTCAAGCCCACTCAGAGGCCAAAGTACCAATACACCAAGAAACCCCCTAGAGAGGTGGTCCAAACTACGGTATATGCAGCCAAGACTACAGTCACAGCACGGATTGTGGACCACACCAAACCAAGAGAGCGCTTCCCTGCATACATCACAGAGAGCACAACAGTTCCTGCCGACAGCTATATAGACTACCCTACAGACACCACCGTATCTCCCACTACAGCGAAAGACAATTACACGCTAGACTACAATGAATGCTACTTCAACTTCTGTGAGTGCTGCCCTCCAGAGAAAGGCCCACAAGGGTTCAAAGGAGACATAGGACTTCCAGGTCAGCTAAGTCAAGTCGTCCCTACACACATGTATCAAGTCATCCCTTTATACATGAAACTAAATAGCATGTTGTTTGCTAAAGATGTGGTGGGGGAAGCTTTTATCTGTAATTTTGTTTAATTGTGTATTGTAGGCATACCTGGGGAAAAGGGAACACCTGGACCTAAAGGTCTACCAGGTCAAATAGGGCCAAAGGGCCTTTCAGGATCTAAAGGGGATAAAGGTAAGTACTTGAGCAGTAGATTACATAAATGATCATCCTTATTCAGTCATCAGATATAACATTGCAGTCCTATTGGAATGCAACAGGAGAGAAAGGTGATCAAGGAAACATAGGAGTCACAGGACCTCCTGGCAACCAGGGAAAGGCCGGAATGAAAGGTGAACATAATTATCCATGGCAATATAAATGTTAGACCAAACAACATGAATATAAGAAATCAATGTTTTGACTCAACAGGTGAGATGGGTATTAAAGGTGAGAAGGGTGCAGCTGGACTGACAGGATTCAAAGGTTCTAAAGGGGAAAAAGGAGATCCAAATCTGAATGTGTCAAAAGGTGATCAGGGAGATCCAGGCAAAGATGGACCACCAGGACCCCAAGGCATGACTGGTGAAAAGGGTGAAAAAGGGGATAGAGGAGAGTGCGGGTTACTAGGTGAGAGGGGCCAGAAAGGTGAGCAAGGTGACCCTGGACCACCAGGTATGCGTGGAGACCCAGGTCCATCTGGACAACATGGCATGCACGGAACTCCAGGCATTGCCGGAGAACGTGGAGAACCAGGAATTCCTGGAGCAAAGGGAGAGCCAGGAGCACGTGGGCCAACAGGAACCAAAGGTATAAGAGGTCTGAGGGGAATAAAGGGTGACCGCGGCCCCCAAGGGAAACGTGGAGACCGAGGCCTCCAGGGAATGAAGGGTGCTATGGGTCAAAGTGACTCAAGAGTACGTTCTGCTTTCAGCGTTGGCCTATATCCCAGCAAGTCTTTTCCTCCTTCGGGATTTCCAGTTCGCTTCGACAAGATCTTCTACAACGGAGAAAACCATTATGACATTGTCACAAGCAAATTCAACTGCACCTACTCGGGAGTTTATGTGTTCTCCTACCAGATCACGGTGAGAAACAAGCCACTTCGTGCTTCTTTGGTGGTGAATGGCGTGCGTAAGGTACGTTCGAGGGACACTCTACAAGGTCAAGACATTGACCAGGCATCCAATCTAGTGATCCTGAAGCTAGATGTCGGAGACCAGGTATGGGTAGAGACGCTAAGAGACTGGAATGGTGTCTACTCTAGCAGCGAGGATGACAGCACCTTCTCTGGGTTCTTGCTCTACCCTGACTAACACCCTCTTCATGTATAAACCAGGGCTAGACCTTGAACTGAACATTACATGATATGGACATGGGAGGAATTAGATTTAGTGTTGTTACCATAGAGAGAAAGAAGTATACTGTTTAAATGAGCATAAGCCAACACTATTGATTCCATTGTGTTAACCACGCCAGAAAGGCTAAATTGATTTTGAAATTAAATGTCTTATTTTGGGAAGAAAAAAAAACATATCCAGCAAATTGTGCAGTTTGTACTTTAAGAGCGCTGTGGATCTCTTTACAGGCTGTTTAGGACATTCAGTATAACTTAAAACTTTCTTACGAGAAAATGATTGTTTTCAATTAGATAATTAGTCGATTAATTTGGCTTTATTTACAGTTCAGAGATCAGGCATTTTGCCTGACAACAAAAAGTTTGACTGAATAATCCTATACATCACGTGCCATTTCAGCTTCTTTTTAATTAGTTACATATCTATGAGCCTCTAAGACAGGGTTTATTGTTTATTTCACTCAACATTTTCAAAGGAGGCATAAACAGTTCATTACTCACAGATTCAACAACATAAACATGTAATATATTGTATGAAACTTAAATCACAATGTAGGCTTTGGGTTGTTGGGTTTCTGAGCACTTAATAATAAAATCAAGCAAGGAATATCACTTTGATTAAGGCTTCACTTCCACAGTTAAAATTATGCTTTTCTGAACACAAAGACTTCATTCTTGTGTTTGACACGTCCTCAGTTTAAAACCTAATGGGATATTTAATGCATAGCAAGGCAACTCTCAAGAGGTTTGGCATGGCTCAGCATCTTCTTTCCCAACATGTTTCAATTCCCAATGTGTAGTTTATGTGTTGGAGAATGAATCAAGTGTTGTTTTTCATGCAATAGTATTCCATAATGAGGCCTTTCCCTTTTACATGCAGCTGGGTATTACATACTTGCCAAACCTGCCCAGGCACAATCACCAACTGGGGAGTGTTCAAATTATCGTGTGTAAAACATTTGACACATGGTTAATATCACAAATTGAGTCATTTTGTGTTATGAATTATGTAAAAACAGAAAAGTGAAATATAAGAAATGTTTTCTTATATCCTGAATCTCAGATCCATCTTTATAAAAGTGACCCTGTCGCAACGGGACGGTTTTGACTGTGACGCACGCCAGTATATTTAATTACTGAAGGTGCGGCTGGTATCTGAAGAACACCCATCGTCTTGGAAGAAAAAAAGCCAGTATAACAGAGGAATACAGCTTTTAGCATGTCAGTAAACGCATGAGAGATCTAGACAAGTGTGGCCATACCTGTCAAGTATCCCGTTTTGGCCGGGAAAGTCACGTATTTTACCCTTCTTCCCCTTATTAGTATTTACCCGTAAATCTCCCGTATTTTAACCTGTGTTATTAAAGTATAATAATACCCCCGAGCGGATAAAAAAAAACATTCCCAATCTGAGCTCTGTCACTTGCCTCGCGATAACTACAGGTACTGTAGGTGAGGTGACAGTTGTCGCGAGGTCAGATGATGAACTCTATGGTGACAACGCGAGGGAAACATTCACAACCAATCACAGTGCGCAGCTAAGTTTTTTCTTGTTATTTTAAGTTTAAAATGGTCAAAAAGTATGCATGGGGTACCGAGATAAGTGTCTGCTCTGGATTAAGTTATGCGACAGGTTTTATCGTAGTTTTTGTAACTACGATAAAACCTGTTGGAAAGCATCTTTAGCAGTGATTTTTTTTGTGAGCACATCAGTGAACACCCCAGACCACTCGGTGGGTTTCACGTCTTTGTAAACTAAAGTTTAATGTGTTTTATGAATGATTGTTCCAGTGGATATAGACAACCATTGTGTAGATTTGGGGGTGCCAACACAGAAACCTAAAATTCTCAGGACAGCAGCATTTGTCCAAATTTCAATTTTAACTGTTCTATTTCATCAGAAACAATCTTAAAACAGGGCTTTAAGTGTCAAATACCGAACTAACTCTTTAAGTAAACAAATTAAACATGCTGTAAAAAATGATCTGTTGGGTATTTTGAGCTGAAACTTCACATACACGTTCTGGGGACATCAGAGACTTATTTTACATGTTGTGAAAAGGGGCATAATACGGGACCTTTAAATATTACCATCTCTAATGACTGGAGAAGCAGATATGAAAATGAGGTGACAGATCATATGAAACGTTCAGTCATTACAGGTACTCCACTCAAAAGAACAGAAAGAGAGAGAAATGGTGCATGTTCACCCTCTTTCATTTGAATTTATTGACCAAAACTCATACTTGGTGTAAAACAGAGCTGGAGATCAAATCAGACACCAGTGTTTTCTGTTCCTTCAGTAGCTCATTTTATTTGTGATTTTTAAATAGCATATTTTGGGCTCCATACCAAGATCATTTAGATAAATAAATGAGGTTATAATCTCTCCACAATGGGTCATTACATGTTTAACTTTTGCATGCATAAGCAATATTTTTCATAGAACAAGTGGTCAAAAGGTAGCTTTAAAATAAGTAATTGTTTAACTCTCTAAATCATAAAACTTGTTTTGTTTTTTGTTTTTATTCTGTAACAGCATTTCTTAAAAGTTAAATATGCAGAAAATAAATATTTGATTATATATATATATTTTTTACCATGTTTAGATTAATTTGTTATATTAATTAAAGCCGCTGCCTATTAAATTACACCTGGGACTCAAGCTTTGCCTGTAGCGAAGTACTGTTCAATCAATCCTAGCATAACCATGATCATAGTAACATCACATGATCACAGTGACCAATCCTAGCATAACCATGATCATAGTAATATCACATCACAGCATGTTTGAGTGACAGGGCAGATGTATAATCCTGAACCACACCAGTTCTGTCCTTGTTTTCCACTCTCAGTTTAAGTGACCAATAACGCCAATAATAAAGGCCAGAAAACTTGAAATAAAAAACGGAAATAAATCATATACTACTCTAATAAGTTATGTATTCTCATACTTCAGTGGCTGGCAATAAAGCATTAAAAACAGTGCAAAAAAACGGTGGTCATTTATGAATCATCTGTCTAAATTCACACTCAATAACAACAAGTGATCATAAATCTAAATAAATAAATCAGAGTGAACCTCCAATCAAAACATTCCCAGAATGAACAAAACAAGAAGAAATATAAATAATAAAGAAATTAAACTTGTGTTTGGGACTGTTAAGATTTTTTGGCATTGTAACATAATTTTCTAAACAACATAAAACAGTCTCATTCTCAGTAGTGATATTTATATTTACACAAATCAAAAACCACCCTGATGTATAAATACTTTATAATGTCGCCTAATATTTTTCTCACACAATGACGCAAGAAAATCGCAAAGGTCATAAAACTATACTTAAAATTCTGCACACGCCAGCCGACCCCCTTCAGAAGTGGATCCAGACACTCACCGTGGGGGAGAGAGCGGCCCGTGAGCGTCAGCTAGCTGGCGAACCTCTGCGGCTGCAGCGGAGGAGGCAGGCTATCGCCGCCGATGTTGTCCGAGTCGATGGTGGAGGGGGCCGAGGCGTGTGTCCGGACAGGAGCCGCGTCCAAAATGCCCATTACAGAGAGTTCCTGGCCCTCGCTCCACTCGATGAGATCGGCCTCCTCCGGCCTGCGTTCCCCTGCCGTGCCGCTCGCGGAGCCGTTCTGTGAGCTGTGTCCAGACGAGGAGGCCCTGGGACCCGCTGGAGACGCAGAACCAGACATGTAGAGCTCAAAGTCCTCCTGGCTCAGGTTCAGCGACTGCGCGTCCAGCTTCTCGATGAACGCCACGGCACAGCACTGCAGCGTGATCACAGAAACACCCGTGATTCTGGAGCAAACACAGCAAGGCGACACTACACACTGGTGCTTCTAGTGGCGTGACCTGTGAACTCTTACCAGGTTAGTGAAGTAGTAGCCGTCCTCGCCGCTCATGATGCGGCTGGGGTTGCAGTAGCGGGTGATGTACTGGATGTTGGAGTGCAGTCGGGGCGGGTTGGCCTTCAGCACGATGTAGACGAGCGCGGGCAGGAAGTCGTCCGCGGAGGCGGCAGCTTTCACACTGCCCTGGACGGCGGTCAGGATGCGTTTACTACACCGGGTGACGCACGCCAGCTTCTCCTTGGGAACCTTCCTCGAGTCCAAGTCGATCAGGTCTATTCACAAAAACATCATACAACTGTCAGCATTTCAGCATCATTACTTCAGTCTTCAGTGTCACATGATCCTTCAGAAACCATGATTAAATAAAAGTATGGATTTCTTTTATGTGTAATGGTACAAAAGCTTTCTATTTTAGAATGAATGCTGTTCTTTTGACTTTCCACTCATCAAAGAATCCTGATTTTCTTTAGGGTGCAAAAATGTGTCACCATTTCCTTAAAGGCACAATATGTTCGATTTTTAGATTTAAATATTCAAACGCCAAAAGAACAGTGTTATTTTGTTGACCTGTGCACTTACATTAGAGATGCGCGGATAGGCTATTACTTTATCCGCAACCGCATCACAAAACTCATAACCCGTCCGCCATGCATCCGCACCAACGTTTTTGACCAATTTTCAAAACCGCCCCCGCCTGCCATCCGCTGATTGGGCGATACAAGGCGCGGAGACTAGAAACAGGGCTTGACATCAACTTTTTGAGGCAAATAAATTTCTGTTTCACTTGTCCATGCACAAAAGTCACTTGTCCGGGTAAAGATTTATAATTTTATCTAGGGCTGCACGATTTGGGGAAAATGTCATATTGCGATTATTGACGTCAATATTGCGCTTGTGATATGCGATTGCGATATAATAAACAAATGGTTTCATGAGTCAACTTGTTTGGTTCTAAACCAAATGCACACACAGATTAGTGGTGATTCTGAAATTAGCAATAACAACTAAATGATTGATAACACCTATAATGATCAATAAGCCATTGATGTCTGGTCTTACAGGTAGGACATATACAGAAATTGAATAAAGTTCTCAAACAGTCTGCGCTACATAAATTATACATAGACTACTCCTTATTAAAGCTACACAAGTTATTTAGTCAAGAGCAGTGAGTAATTTTCCCTGTTCCCTTTGTTCTTTCATTAACTTTACTGACTGAACGCTTTATTGGTAGCTGGCCCTTTAAGAGCAGCCGCTGTGGAGACGCGGATCTCACACGCACGTCATTCTCTCACGAGTCACAACTCTTTATGTCCATCATAAGACTGCTCTAATGTTATGAAGATACTCGACAAATGACATTTTGGCTTAGTTGTGTGTTGTTGATGTTCGTTCAAGCGCGAAAGAGAACTTCTGTGCATATGCATTATACTGGCGCGCGTCTCTCTGTGAGTCACATTCAGGACATTCACAGGCAGCGCAAAAAATGTGTTCGTTTCAAATCGGTAAAATTAAATCTGTAAAATAGACGTAACGAGTGGCACATAACGTGAAGTAACATGGCATTTTATTTTGTTTGAAATTTACGTTAACTTGTCCGGTCGGACAACTAATTTTCTCTTCTACTTGTCCTACAAAAAGTCCACTTGTCCCGGAAAAACCTTAATGTGGAGCCCTGTAGAAAGCTCTCAGAATATCAGCAGTGAACTCAGTCTCCGATCGGCACGCAGGGATAAAAATAAATAAATTAAACCCAGACAGCAAACTGACATTGAATCAACATGGAAACGACGTCTCTCATGACATTGAAACAACGTTGATTTTGCTCATCGAATTAACGTTGAACCGACGTCAGACGCGGCATTCTTCAAAGCTAAATGAAAATCGAAAATTGGTTTGCTTTCATAACGTTGAAACAACGCGTTGATTTCAAGTTGATTTTCCGTTAGTTTTGAAAGAATGACGCGTCTGACGTTGGTTCAACGTTAATTCGATGAGCAAAACAATGTCAGATCAACGTTGTTTCGATGTCATATTTCCATGTTGATTCAACCTCAGTTTGCTATCTGGGAACGCACTTCGGCAAACCTGACTGTGGCGAGGGGGGCGTGATTTTGCGAAGTCTGTAGCGGGAGAGAAAGGACGGAGCCGCGCGGTGAGTAGGTCAAGTGCAGATGATAAAAAACACCTGTCTGATTGCAGTAATTTTCCATGGAGAGACCGCATATAAACGGCGGCACGTGAGAAGCAAGTGTTGGATCGCGTGTTTTGTTTATGGTGGCGAAAGCGCTAGTGTGTGCCTCGTTTCTTTTTGTTTTTCTGAATAAACGCGAGTCCCAGTCACGCCGACCCTGTCTTCTTCCTTCCACACACTCTGAACCTCTTCACACTGACCTTATCTGATAGGCTACTGTACAATATTTTCATTGTAGCCTAATAGAAAACGCATTTTGGCACATCATTTGGTTCAACCGCCCGCCCAAATTTAATTAAAATTTTTTTTTTGTCACGTCATCCACCCGATCCGCGGTTTATCCTCGGAGTCCACGGCTGTAACCGCCAACCGCACATCTCTAACTTACATATTCCTAAATGTTTAAATCCACAGAAATCAGCTATTTTAACCAATGTTACGGACCGTGTCCTTGCGTCGCCTGTCAGTAGCTGTGTTTCCATTACCCTTCAAATTGCGCCAAATGAACTTGTGAGGTGAAAATACGTCAAATGGAAACACGTCAATTTCGCAAAAACTCCCATATATCACAATGTTTTCACGCTTGAATTTTGTGTTTTTTTAGGCAGTTCGATAAAGGAATATTTCGCTCCATTTTTCCACATTTATAGTCACCTGACGTACGCAACAGTCGCTCACTCTTTAAAGAGGGCGAGCTGTGTTTGGACAGAAGACGAGACCGAGTTCTTCATTAAACTCATAAGGCGAGACACTACAGGTGAATAGGGTAATTTTTTTAACTAGCAGATATCACCATGAAACTTTCCCAGTTGATTACCTACATTAAGATGAGAAAAAAATATATATTACAAGTTTTCTGTAATTTAATGTTTAAATATGCAAATGAGGCATTATCTAATTAAATATGGACTAATTTGCATATATAAAAAAAAAACTAAATCTGAGTATTGGATAAAGCCAGGTTCAAAATTCTTTTTTCATTCTGTTCACATATTAGATGAGAAAAAAATTAGAGGGATTTATGGATATCTGATTTTATTATCCTGTAAATCAGAATATACTGCCAATTGCCTTAAAAAAATGATATTCGCCATGTTTTTTGGAATAAAATGTTATATAAATCAGGCTAGGAATAATATATTTACAAATCCCTCTGTAAATGTCTTCATAATATAACTAGGTACAAGACTGTAAAGTTTGGTGTGTATATAGGTGCTACTGAAGTGGAGATTTCGGACTTGGAGTATGAGAGAAAAGTCATTTTGAGAAAACTGGCTTTAAAGATTTAGCATCAGCCAATGAGATCGCGCATTTAGAGTTAAATCCCCCCTTTTACTTTCACGATTGGTTGCTAATAAAAAGGAAATTACCATATTTGGATCTGACAGCGTTGTACAGGAGAAAGAGAGCTTTTCTTTCTAACGGTGTGTGTGATGACAGGGTGCAAATCGCGATCTCGGAGCAGCAGGATGATTTATAACGACAACTTTTGAAGAATTTATGAGAAATCTACAGACGCAAACAGACAAAGTGTAGTAAAATAAAGACCTAAATGTGTATTTCAGACTTTTTTTCATCACAAGTCTGAAAGAAGACATGTTATTGAAGACAAATATCCCAAAATCTCAAAATTGACCAGTGAAAAAAACAACAATGTTTTTGCCTGCCGTGTCTCCTTCGCCATGACTTAATGATTAATGGAAACGCCGTCATTTCACAATAGTTTTTTAGTTTAACATAAAATCTGTAATGGAAACGCATTCCATTTATATGTTATAAAGTCTGTGTTATAAAGCGAGTTTCCTCCTAAATCTGCTGGTGTCAGCAGTGAGTGTGTAACGTCTGTACCTGTTATGGCTCTCTCCACACTGTCCGATACTTTAGGGATCTGCTCGTCCAATGGGACACACAGCATCGCAATGGACACCCAGTGCAAAGCCCTGAAACATACACACACACACGCACATGACAGTGTTAAACTTTACTCTTCTCATTTTGGCTGTCCCTGAACCCCTGGCTCTTTTTTATTCCTAAGTAAATGTTTAAAATATATAAATAAATAAATAAAAATAGCGAAACCAAATCGGGCCGGCTCCAGCGCACCTGATTCTCTTGCGGATGACCAGGTCCTTCTTCTCGTCGTCCGAGTGCTCGGGGCAGAAGAGCTGCTCATACAGGCGGCCCATCACATAGCGCTCCACCTCCTCCATCACAGTCTCAATCACTTCTGGAGAGCCTGAGCACACACACACACACACACAGCCGTCAGAGAGATGTGCATGTGAATATGGAGAGCAGGGCTGGGTAAACTATGGCAGTGTTGGGAGATCAGCATTGGCAAGAGAGCTGTACGTGTTTCATTAAGATAGAGTCCCTCACATCTACATCACACAGCCCGCTTCATCCCCAATCAGTTTATCCCTTAAAGGAGTAGTTCACTTTTGAAAAAACTTTTGCTGATAATTTACTCACCCCCATGTCATCCAAGATGTCCATGTCTTTCTTTCCTCAGTCGAAAAGAAATTTAGGTTTTTGATGAAAACATTCCAGGATTTTTCTCCATATAATGGACTTCAATGGGAACCGGATGGTTCAGGTCCAAAAGACAGTTTCAGTGCAAACTGTTCAAAGGGCTTTAAACGACACCAGACGATGAATAAGGGTCTTATCATGCGAAACGATCGGCTATTTCAAAGCTTATTCCAAAAATGTAACTTTTCTAAGGACAAATGCTAGCCTTTCTCCATTATGTGAGGCGCGTTTGCAACGTCACGTAGTACGTAATTACGTTCAAAAGGTCACAGGCGACGTAGCCAGAAGTACAGAGTCAGAGTGTTTACAAGTTGAACGCATAGGTTGAACGTGAAAACTAACTCGAACGCCGTTTACAAAAAAGGAATTAAAAGGAAAAACAACGATGTCGGACGATTTTGATTCTGTACTTCCGGCTACGTCGCCCGTGACCTTTTGAACGTAATTACGTATTACGTGACGTTACAAACGCGCCTCACAGAATAGAGCAAGGCTAGCATTTGTCCTTAGAAAAGTTACATTTTTGGAATAAGCTTTGAAATAAGCGATCGTTTCGCATGATAAGACCCTTATTCATCGTCTGGTGTCGTTTAAAGACATTTGAAGCTGCATCTGAAACTGTTATTAACTGTCTGTTGGACCTTGAACCATCCGGTTCCCATTGAAGTCCCAAGAAATGTTTTCATCAAAAACCTAAATTTCTTTTCGACTGAGGAAAGAAAGACATGGACATCTTGGATGACATGGGGGTGAGTAAATTATCAGCAAAAGTTTTTTCAAAAGTGAACTAATCCTTTAAAACCCATCTTTGATCACCAAAATTACACATTTAAAAATTGCTTTCTTGAAAATATGTCTTCTTGTCTTAAAATATCTTGAAAGTAACTCGACACCCTTGCCTCATTTAGTATGCGCAGTTCTATGAATATGCAAATGAGCCCCGTCTCCACTTAGCTCTCCACAGAAACGTTCAGCTCAAATAAACAAGCATCACGATCAATGTGATAATCAATGTTTAACTCGGTATCCGGACACACACTGATGCGCTACGGCATTCACACAAACACAGAGTGGGAGGTTTGTAGGATCACACCGCAACATTATTTAAAGTCTCTAAATTTAAAAACTTTTTAAAAAAAAGGTTTGTGACAGGTTATGCTATGCTGGATTTAGCATGTCGCACCTTTAAAGTTGGTCTGTAGGTATTCAGACATGTTTTGATAGAAATCCTGCACAGATTCTGAGAGATCGTCACAGACAACAGCCTACAACGCAAACACAAAACAAACACACATGAAGATCAATAACAACTACACGCTGTAATATCATCCACATGGTCTGGATGAAGCCGACAGTATTGTGTAGCAATAAAAAAATGACTGTGGATGTTTTGACCTTCTTGCGTGCGATATTCTCCGTGAAGGTATGGCACTGCCTGAAGATGTCATATCCCGGTCTCTGGAAGGGCTTGAGGAAGTCGATGAAGGTCTGCGTGACGTGGTCTGACTCTCGGCCGAGGGACGAGCTGTGGCTCGCGGGCGTCTGTGAGGCTCCTGCGTCTGTCAACGACATTACAGTCCAGTTCATTCTGACTGACTCCAGAACAGCACGCATGAGGCGGTGTGTGCCCGGCACAGGGGCAGCTTGTTTTTGTTCACCCTCTAAAAGTGACGCTTGTGACGTGCTATAGACGAATCCGACGAGCGTTCTGTGTAGGCTGCCATCTTGCCATCAAACCTCGGTGATAACGCGAACTCACCCTCGATGACAGCTACAGCCAGGCAGAATGACTTGTTGGTTTGATCTGTGACTGCAGTGGCCTCCAGTCACAGATGAAGGTACAAACGATCTTACAGATTAACGTTATTTATGAAAATAGCTTGGCAAGCTAGCTAGGCTAACGTTTGCTAACGAGGAAACTATAAAAAGATCTGTCCATTTGGCAACAATAAATAAATAAATGAATGAAATCAAATAAACAAATTCATGTTTTTCATTTGTGTCCATTATTTATCTCATTTTCACATTGCAACAGGCAAGGGTAAGGTAACGTTACAGCTAGAAACTATACATAATATCGACCAATTAGTGTTTTTAAACCATGGAAAGAGGTCAATATAACAGCGGGAAAACAATTATGTCACATAACGTTACATTCAGCTCAGGAAAGCCATTTAATGACCATAGCATGTTAATTGAATAGAAAAAATATCAAGAGAGGAGATTTTGCTGATCACTATATCACATATTTATTATATATTTTTTACTTATGTCATTAAATAATTGTAACGTTAGTGACAGTCGTAAATCGCGGGCTGTTTATTCCAGTGGACGCAAGTTGCAACTAAAACAATAGGAGGCAATGGCGCAACGCTACCCAGCAACAGCTCAGTAATGGCGCCCCGCTTACTTCCGCTAGTTTCGCCGGATTCGTCTATAATGAATGACCTGTCGGGTATTTTGAGCTAAAACTTCACACACACTCTGGGGACATCAGACTTGTTTTACTCCTTGTGAAAAGGGCATTATTGGCCCGCTTTAAGATGTGATTCAGTGTGTGGTTGTACCTCTCCGCGCGGGTGTTTTGGGAGCGGGTGTGAAGAGACTCTTCACCATGGGAACGGTGTGTGTCCTAGAGGACGCGGGCTGTGCTGGCGCCCCCTCCTGTCTGCTGGCGTACGCTGCTGCTTCCTCCTCTCTCTGTAACCTGACACACACACACACACAGCAGCTGAGCACAACTCAACAGAGCCAAACACACACACACACACACGCACGCCCTCACCTCTCGGCCAGCGCCCGGTCCTCCTCGATCTGCTTGGCTCTCGTACACTGGTTCTGCTCGCGCCAGCATTTGGAGCAGTGGCCCTGCCAGACGGCGTTACCATAGTAACCGCACCCGCTCTTACACATGAGGTCCGACTGCTGGACGCTGAAGCCCCTGCGGTGCTGAGAGTTCATGCTGAAACACACACACACATATATATGAGGTCCGACTGCTGGACGCTGAAGCCCCTGCAGTGCTGAGAGTTCATGCTGAAACACACTCTCTCTCTCAGACACACTCTGACACTCACACTCTCTCTCTCTCACACGCATACACACAAGGTCCGACTGCTGGACACTGAAGCCCCTTTGTGCCTGAGAGTTCATGCTGAAACACACACACTCTCTATCTCTCTCACTCACTCACTCACTCACACACACACACACACACACTCTCTCTCTCTCTCTATCTCTCTCAGACAGACAAACACACACTCTCTCTCTCTCTTACTCAATCACAGAAACACACACACACCCCAGTCAGTGCTGTTAAGTGACACAGAACGCTGCCATTCATTCACAGCAGATCAGATGAGTGTAATGCGATGATTGACTCTGATTAGTCATCAATTCAATAAATGCCATGGTAACGAAACATACAAACACGAGCCACTGTTCAGTGCCACAGTGTGTGAATATACCATGATACTATGACCATAACACACTCTCTGTAGTAACGTTACCACAGTAAAACACAGTAGCAGTTAGTCTTATGGTAAAAAGAAATTAAAGCTTCTCCAGAAAACTCTAGTGTATCTAGTGTACAGTGAAATTAATAACAAGGGATTTACAGAAACATCAAGCGTAACGTTAATAATTCGCGATTGGCAAATAAGTTCACAAGCGAGAGATATTCAGAAGTAATTATAATAACAATAATAATGTTCTGTCTTACGTGTGAAACTTGTAGAACAGGTGTGAATGCTGAAAATTGTTACTTTAAAGTTTCCAGCAAGCTCAATAGGTCACGAATAGCCAGTTTATGATCGTCATTGGTGTTTTGATCAATGTATTTGTGTTGTTGACGGAAATCCCTTCACCGCCGGAAATGATGTCCGTTTATGCACGCCAGTCGTCAAAATAAAAGTCCAAAATAAAATAAAAGACCTCTGGGCATATGTTGCAGCTGCATATATATATGGGTGATTCTTTAACTATGGTACTTTTCTTGTCCCTGGATGAAATAATAAAATCTAAAACCATTTCTTATTTTTTGTTTTTTTTTTCACATTTACTTCATCCTAAGGGGAACTTATAAAAAATGTATCATGGCTCTATCATTCTTTTTATTATATAATATGAGGCCTTTTATGCATGGTTTTTACTGTTTTCCCTCTGTCCCTAAGCCAGACTTTGTATCCTCAACCTTGCTTAATTCTAAATTAAATATTTAAATAATGTAGAATTCAGGTGCAAATTATAAAATAATGTCTATTTCAATTATACATATTATATATTGCAATATTTATTCACATTTTCCTATATTTTTCACAGTGGTGGAAAGAGTACTGACAAATTGTACTTACAGTAATCGTTATTTTAAGATGGTGTAGATAACCATTCACAACCTATTTACAAAAAGAATCAAAATAAAACAAGGAACCAAAACAAAAGGTAACCATATATAATTTGTTAATGCAACTATTCTACCTACCTCACTTTCTAACCATTTGCCTGGTGCCAGACCCATCAGGTTTTGTATGGGCCCATTTTGCTCCACAGTAAATTATGTTTCTTGCCCTCCCATATAACATGTATCATTAAAATCAGCACAATGAATACAAAGTAAAATTCTGAGCAATGGCACTGTGAAATATAACCAAATCACTTAATTTTTACCTTGTTCTTCTGGATATTTTAACACAGGGAAGGTGTCTGGGGAGCAAGAGTGAGTAATTGGTGGGCCTGGGTTGATTTGTGTTTGTGCCATTGTTGCATGGTGAGGAGGATTGGCTGGTGATGGAGGATTTGCTGATGATGGAGGTGTTGCAGGGTGAGTATTGGCTGGTGATTGATATTTGGCAGGGTGAGGAGGATTGGCTGGTGGAGGGTGAGGATTGGCTTGTGATGGAGGTTTGGCTGATGATGGAAGTGTTGCAGGGTGAGGATTGGCTGGTGATGGAGGTTTGGCAGGGTGAGGAGGATTTGCTGGTGATTGAGGTTTGGCGGGTGAGGATTGGCTGGAGGAGCAGGAGGACTGAGAGGGGTTGATGGGATCCATTTTTTGTAATCTGAGGCTCGGGCTCCACATACTTTATTAAATGATCTACATACTTTAAACTTTTTCTTCCCTTTGGTTGAAATCACATCATCATTTTTGCCTTCTATCTTAATGATAGTAAATGGACCGAGTATGTCTGGGTCCATTTTTCCACCCTTTCTGTTCTCCTGTCTCACATTCCTAACCAACACTTTATCCCCAGCCATTAAGTTGTCCTCCTACCCTTTTTCCATCTTTCGCTTCCGTACTTTCTCTTGACTCTTTGTGATGTTCTGTTTGACAACTTCCATTGTCTCCCTCCTATCGCTCAACCCCTTAAGCCAGCTGCTCACTTGCAACTATTGCTTCCATCTTTCATGACAGATCTAAGATATTCACAATAATTAATCACATCTTTCAAGATCAAGTGTCAGTAGAAAAACAAAAAAGACAAACCACTAACCTCATAATCCTTTGGTGCCTAACATGGATATGCCTCTCTCCCAAACATCAAAAAGTATGGGGAAAACTGTGTTTTTAATAGTTCAAATGTTTTTTTGTTCTTAGTGTGAACATTGTTGCATTTAGATGCAGGTGCCATGTTGATGGATTTTCCCCAACCATTTTTGTCAGGCTTCTGGACCAAAAAGAAAATCATGAAATGTTCAAAAACTACAGAACATGTGCCTGTACACATGTTCACATAAATTACATTTGTGCCATTGTGCCATTCATTCTCTCAACAAGGCCATTTGTCTGGGGATGATAATGAGAATACAGACTCAAGGTGATGCACAGTCTCTCACACAGGCAAAAATTGACCTTTAAGAAGAAAAAAAAATCAGATATTTCTTATGGTCATATCCATTTATTTTGACTTGATTTTTGTTAAACCAACCTTGCTGACAAACCCTCTGCCCTGGTTAACAGACGCTGCGGTGCTCCAAATTTGTAAAAAAAAAAAAAAAAAAAGTCTAGGATGCACCCTGTGACCTCTTCTGCTTTTTTTGTTTTTAGAGGATAGGCTTCAGACCACTTAGTGTAGTGGTTCTCAATGCCAGTCCTTGGAACCCACTGCTCTGCATATTGTGTATGTCTCCCTTATTTAACACACCTGATTCAGATCCTCACCTCGTTAGGATAGACTCTATAGGCTTGTTCGACTTAATGCAGCTCTGCGCAGACCGATCGGCGGCTGACTTGAAACAGTGCATGCCGGTTAGAAATTTTGTCCGACTTGATGCAGCGCTGACTCCACGTGACTGTGATGTATGCCATCAAAGTACCGCGAGAGCGATACGAGTTTATTCGACTATTCCTTTTCTTCCTTGTAGGCCAGAAACGAGACTTCCTTAGATTTCCACGACGCATGCTCGAGAACTGAACTGAAGTAGTGTACGGAGATCGCAAATCTCTCGCATGCGTCGTGGAAATCTAAGGAAGTCTCGTTTCTGGCCTACAAGGAAGAAAAGGAATAGTCGAATAAACTCGTTATTTTTGTTTGTTTTTTCGCACAAAAAGTATTCTCGTCGCTTGATAAACATATAGTTGAGCCACGGTAGTCACTTGGGATATTTAAACATTTTCTTCATTGACTTTCTGGGCCGTAAAGAGGCAGTCCCTTAGGAGCCAATGTGGTAGTTATACAGCTCTCAAATTTAATCAAAAATATCTTCATTTGTGTTCCGAAGACGAACGAAGGTCTTACGGGGTTGGTACAGCATGGGGGTGAGTAATTAATGACTTAATTTTCATTTTTGGGTGAACTAACCCTTTAAGTATTAAAAGTAAAAATACTTGCATAATTTATTCTCTTAAAGTACAGTCATCAAAATCAAGGACTTGTTACTTTTTACTTAAGTAGGGTTGTCATTGTGGTACTTCTACTTTTACTGAAGTAAATATGTCTGTGGTTATTTGTACTTTTACTTAGTACTGAGATTCAATACTACCTCCACCACTGATTATCTGACTAATCCTTGTAAACGAAGAATTTATTATCTTTATATACATGACAAGTATTTAATTAGTTACAGCTCATGTTTCGGACGTGTTTCAGAAAGATTTTTGCGGAGACAGAGTGAGCTGAAATTGCACCCTGTTTATTTTATTTTAGAAAAACACATGGTTTTGATGTTGATAAGAGTGTACACAAAAAAGAAGACCCTCTATAGTTTATAATCATGTATTGATTTTATTTATATGACCATTAATGACGGAGTACTTTAAGTCTATGTTGCAGCTATGTGAAAAAAACTCGCGCATTTGGTCCCCAGAGGGTTAATAGCTACATGGCAATGATTATAACTTTAAACTTTTTATTAACAAAACTGTTATTGCATTAATTACACTACCAGTCCAAAGTTTTAGAACATCCCCATTTTACAAGTTTTTTTTGTAACATAAGTAGTTCAAGTCCAGTAAATGGTACAAAAGTAAGCAGCAAACTCCCAAAGTTAAAAACAACATTTATGTGTTAACAAAGGCTGTTCCAATGTGTTCACAGATGTAGAAACATCTGTAGAAATGTGTTTGCATGAATCATTTATTTCCATTGCTTCATAATAATCAAAGAAGGTAAAGACAAAACTTTAGATCAGCAAAACTCAGAAATAATGTAACACCTTGGAACAACCTGTGTCAAAACACCCTCAGAAGCTTTTATTAGTACAATACTGCAACTAAAAAGGCAAATAATGAAAAAAGACTAATCTAAATTAATTTAAATAAAATACATCTACTTGTTATATGTACATGATATGTCCAAATATTGTTCACCACATCAAAACATCTATAAACATCACAAAATCACACAGAAATATCAAGAACATATTGCTTATCTTTATTCCAGCTGCTCACTTTCTGCTAGATGTGTAAAGCTGTGGTGAGATGGAGACGGTAATCATTTCAGTTTATTTTGGTAAAAACTGTTGTTTAAAGTTCATAGTACATAGTAGTCGCATTGTTCTGACTTCATGAACCCTCATGGTGTGAATGGAACATCAAACTGACCAGAACAAACTCTTTAAATGTATATATGATACTGGATATCAAGTGTGAAACTGTTTAATTAGGAAAGTGTGCAAGTGAGTTATCAAATTTCTTAAAGCGAAGACTCACTCTTTTCTCTCCCAGTTAAGACAGCTCGAGAGGTCTCTCAAGTGGTCAGGAGTTGGCAGTTGGGGCTTGAGATGCACTGAGAAGACGGAGACAAGCGAGTCTTTCAGGAGAGAAATGTTTGACAATGAGCAGTTAATATAGGGATGAGTCATGATCTACTTGATTTAATTATAGATTATCCAATAGGTTGTGTGATTATTGTATAAAAAAAATCCCCATGTTTTCAGTGCTGATACGGTGGTGGTTTTTTTTTGGTACGGTTCGCTTTCACACTTCTCTTTTTGCAAGTGAACCAAAATTTGTAAACCAAACCACACGTGTTCTAAGGTCGTCCATTCATTGGACAAGGATTCTCAAGGGAAATCAGGAAGTGAAAAAAAGGCTCAGCATGGAGATATTTCCATATATTTCATACTGCAATATTTGTTCTTTTACTAATTTTGTGTTAATTCTGTACAAATGCAATATGAAGAAACTAATGAGTATCATATGATACAATGTCATCTATACGAAGTTTTAATTCGGCTTTTGAGAAGAAGACGAGTGTAACGTTTGAGTGGCTCTATAAACGCGGGGAAATACGACAACTCTCGTCTCTCGTGCATCTTTTCATTCGACCACCTTCTGTTTTTTTTTATCTCTGGGCAACATCTCAACTTTGCGTTACAAGTGGCACTGCACAAAAGACGGAGAAGGTATAAAGTTTTCATTCATAGAGAGG